TGGAATGAGTCAATAGTCGTCCCTATCTTTATAAAGGGTTCACGTTGTTCCTGCAATAACTACCGGGGGATAAGTCTACTTTCGATCGCGTCCAAACTATTGGCTTCTATCATTCTTCGTAGGTTGTTTAAAACCCGAGAACGATTGACTCGCGAGGAGCAGGCTGGTTTTCGTTCTGGTCGAGGATGCATTGATCACATCTTCACCCTCCGCCAAATGTTAGAACACCGTCATACTTATCGCAGGCCAACAATCGTAGTGTTTCTTGATATCAGGGCGGCCTTCGATTCGTTGGACAGGACTGTTCTCTGGGATTGTCTATTGAAGAAGGGTGTGCCTGAGAAGTTCATTAACATCTTAAAGGCCCTGTATACGAACACCTCAGGCAGAGTGAGGGCATACAACCACCTTTCTCCCTTGTTCCATTCGAGCAGTGGGGTTAGGCAGGGTTGTCCGATCTCCCCATTCCTCTTCAACTTTGCCATCGACGACATCCTAGAAACAGCTCTGATGGATGTAAGTAATGGCGGTGTGGATATGTTGCCTGGAGAACGACTTCTCGACCTTGAGTATGCGGATGATATTGTCTTACTGTGCGATAATGCCCAAGGCATGCAATCAGCACTTAATCAGTTGGCAATCAGTGTCCGCAGGTACGGCATGTGCTTTGCACCCTCCAAGTGCAAAGTACTTCTACAAGACTGGCAGGATTCTCATCCTGTACTCACCCTGGATGGTGAGGAGATCGAAGTAGTTGAGAAGTTCGTGTATCTAGGTAGCTATATAAGTGCTGGTGGTGGCGTGAGTGATGAGATTGATGCACGTATAATGAAAGCCAGAGCGGCTTATGCCAATCTGGGCCATCTTTGGCGCCTTCGTGATGTTAGTCTGGCTGTAAAAGGTCGGATCTACAACGCGTCGGTGAGAGCAGTTTTGCTCTATGCTTGTGAAACCTGGCCTCTCCGAGTTGAGGATGTTAGACGACTCTCTGTGTTCGATCATCGTTGTCTCCGAAGGATTGCTGACATCCAGTGGCAACACCATGTTAGTAATGCAGAGGTTCGGCATCGTGTGTTCGGGCGCAGAGACGATAATTCAATTGGTGTCACCATCTTGAAACACCGACTTCGGTGGCTCGGACATGTTTTACGAATGTCGTCCCAGAGACTTCCGCGTCGTGCATTATTTGCCGACCCTGGGACTGGTTGGAGAAAGCGGAGAGGAGGTCAGTGTATGACATGGTGTCGTGGCATGAAAGAGAGCTGCAAAGGGCTAGCTTCTGTTGGTCCTTCACGACTCCCTGGTTGGGGTCCGAGAGATAGTGCAACACAGTGGCTAGAGACACAAACAAATGAATGAAATTATGAACTCTATTGACGATATCCCTGGTCATACTAAAAGCAAGACAATTAACATTATTATTATTATTACCTTTATTATTATTATTATTATTATTATTATTATTATTATTATTACTTACCATATCGCTAATTCACCCCCTTTTATCCCCAATTTGTGTAACCTTACTCTTCAACTTATGCAGCAGCTCGCTCTTGGTGGAAAATCTGTCCTATCTAAACGATCTCCAGTCACTGTCTGGTTGAAAGTGAATGCTTCCACCGATTATGAATACTGAGGCAGTCTTTCTGAAACCACGTACGCCGTTCAAGCTGGCTTCCTTCAACGTTCGCACACTAATGCAGATCAGACAACAGATAGGGCTGGCTATGTCTTTGGAAGGTCTTAATGTTGACGTTTGTTGTCTATCCGAGACCCGTATTCAAGACTCTAGTGAAGTACTACAAATCCGCTCTCCATCTGTCGCCTCGAAAAGCTTGTTCCACGTGCGCTTATCCGGGGACCCTGTGGCATCTTCGTCTGGTCTTGCTGGCGTTGGTGTCGCACTAAGCGCTAGAGCTGAGGCAGCACTAATCGATTGGATCCCCATTAACAGTCGGTTATGTGCTGTTAGATTAGAAAGTTCCATCAAAGTGAGAAGAAATCGGCGTGAGAAACGGTGTCTTTTCGTCATCTCCGCCTATGCCCCGACAGATTGCAGCCCGGATGCAATCAAGGATGAGTTTTACCATCAGTTAACAGTTCTTCTCCAGAAAGCGCGTTCGACAGATATTGTAGTACTAGCCGGAGACTTGAATGCACAGGTCGGGCGTCTAGGCACAGAAGAGAGTCGTCTAGGTGGCCGATGGGGACTTGTTGGTCGCCGGACAGATAACGGGGACCGTTTGCTGCAACTGTGCACAGACCACAACCTGTTTCTGGCCAGCACTAACTTCCGGCACAGTCATCGCCGGTGTGCCACCTGGCGTCCTCCCTCTGCATCCCAAGCCTGGACTCAGATTGATCACATCGCGATCAGCTACCGCTGGCGTGGTTGTGTACAAGACTGCCGCTCCTTTTGGAGTACCTATCTGGAGTCTGATCATGCCCTGGTCTGCGCCAATCTCACCTTACTTTTCAGTGGCCGAAGGATTGACCACCACCAACGGATTGATATTAGTAAACTGGCTGCAACTTCTGTTGCAAGTAAGTATCGAGCTGAGCTAGCCTCTAGGCTAGCTACCACCCCACCGAAAAGTATAGACGAGCATTGGTTGCATCTTCACGACGCCATGAAAATGGCGAGTAAAGCCGCTTGCGGCTTCGCGAAACGTCCCGCTTACAAGCACTGGGTTTCTTCTGGCTCCTTACAACTGATGGAAGCCCGTCGGTCTACTCCGGGTGACCGTGAGTTTGACCACAAACGAAGGCTGTTACGTAATGAAATCGGGCAAAGCTTGTGTAAGGACCGGGAAGCCTGGTGGTCGGAGCGTGCTAATGAGATGGAAGCAGCAGCTGCATCTGGTAACTGCCGGAAGCTCTTCCAACTCATCCGAGCCACTGGCAGCAAGAAGTCTGGTGTGAGTGAAACAATCTACGAGGATGACGGGATGCCAATCACTAACATCTGTCGACGTCTTGGACGATGGGCGGAATTTTTCGAAGGGCAGTTCAACTGGCCTGCTGCTCCGGCAACATCAACCAGCTTGTCCTGCTCCCCATGGCCGGTGACGACTGATCCACCAAACGAGGCGGAAGTCCACAAGGAACTCCAACTCTTGAAACGTTATAAATCACCTGGCCCAGATGACTTACCTCCGGCTCTTTTTAAAGATGGTGGTGACTTTCTGGCTAAGGAACTGACTGCGTTGTTTGGAAAGGTTTGGGAGCAAGAAAGTGTTCCAACATCTTGGAATGAGTCAATAGTCGTCCCTATCTTTAAAAAGGGTTCACGTTGTTCCTGCAATAACTACCGGGGGATAAGTCTACTTTCGATCGCGTCCAAACTATTGGCTTCTATCATTCTTCGTAGGTTGTTTAAAACCCGAGAACGATTGACTCGCGAGGAGCAGGCTGGTTTTCGTTCTGGTCGAGGATGCATTGATCACATCTTCACCCTCCGCCAAATGTTAGAACACCGTCATACTTATCGCAGGCCAACAATCGTAGTGTTTCTTGATATCAGGGCGGCCTTCGATTCGTTGGACAGGACTGTTCTCTGGGATTGTCTATTGAAGAAGGGTGTGCCTGAGAAGTTCATTAACATCTTAAAGGCCCTGTATACGAACACCTCAGGCAGAGTGAGGGCATACAACCACCTTTCTCCCTTGTTCCATTCGAGCAGTGGGGTTAGGCAGGGTTGCCCGATCTCACCATTCCTCTTCAACTTTGCCATCGACGACATCCTAGAAACAGCTCTGATGGATGTAAGTAATGGCGGTGTGGATATGTTGCCTGGAGAACGACTTCTCGACCTTGAGTATGCGGATGATATTGTCTTACTGTGCGATAATGCCCAAGGCATGCAATCAGCACTTAATCAGTTGGCAATCAGTGTCCGCAGGTACGGCATGTGCTTTGCACCCTCCAAGTGCAAAGTACTTCTACAAGACTGGCAGGATTCTCATCCTGTACTCACCCTGGATGGTGAGGAGATCGAAGTAGTTGAGAAGTTCGTGTATCTAGGTAGCTATATAAGTGCTGGTGGTGGCGTGAGTGATGAGATTGATGCACGTATAATGAAAGCCAGAGCGGCTTATGCCAATCTGGGCCATCTTTGGCGCCTTCGTGATGTTAGTCTGGCTGTAAAAGGTCGGATCTACAACGCGTCGGTGAGAGCAGTTTTGCTCTATGCTTGTGAAACCTGGCCTCTCCGAGTTGAGGATGTTAGACGTCTCTCTGTGTTCGATCATCGTTGTCTCCGAAGGATTGCTGACATCCAGTGGCAACACCATGTTAGTAATGCAGAGGTTCGGCATCGTGTGTTCGGGCGCAGAGACGATAATTCAATTGGTGTCACCATCTTGAAACACCGACTTCGGTGGCTCGGACATGTTTTACGAATGTCGTCCCAGAGACTTCCGCGTCGTGCATTATTTGCCGACCCTGGGACTGGTTGGAGAAAGCGGAGAGGAGGTCAGTGTATGACATGGTGTCGTGGCATGAAAGAGAGCTGCAAAGGGCTAGCTTCCGTTGGTCCTTCACGACTCCCTGGTTGGGGTCCGAGAGATAGTGCAACACAGTGGCTAGAGACGTTATCAGATATGGCTCAGAATAGAAGCCAGTGGCGATCCTGCTGCAACCTTCTTTTACTTTCTACATAAAGAATGGTTCTAACTTTCCTAACTGAAAGAATCTTCTGGTTGTACATTTCAGCCCGCCTTATCTTTTCATCCTTTATCTACCTACTTTCATTATTTTGTGTGGCGCATATGTACCTGGTGCCCTTTTGTACCAATATATATGTGTTTAAATAAATAAATAAATAAGAGACGTTATCGGATATGGCTCAGAATAGAAGCCAGTGGCGATCCTGCTGCAACCTTCTTTTACTTTCTACATAAAGAATGGTTCTAACTTTCCTAACTGAAAGAATCTTCTGGTTGTACATTTCAGCCCGCCTTATCTTTTCATCCTTTATCTACCTACTTTCATTATTTTGTGTGGCGCATATGTACCTGGTGCCCTTTTGTACCAATATATATGTGTTTAAATAAATAAATAATAAATAAATAACATACTACGAACCGACGAGTATATACAGAGAGAGATTGTCGTGGTTTGTGGCCCTCAAAGTAACCTTTTTATTGATAATCAGATCAAACAACACGTTTATGCAAACATTACAGACCCGTGTAAACGTCGCAAATCGGTTTCGGTCACTTATATTTTCCGATAGATCAATATGTTTTAAAGTATATATGGTTGAAATTCGCCGGTAGTCAGATGTAAGTTACTTTGTTTTGTTCATATCCAATGGACACACTGCACATCTGTGTAGTCAGAAACTATCATCTACTCTGTACTCCTTAACCTCTACGGTGAACTTACATTTTATGACCAAAGGTAGTATAAATAGGAAAGATTGAATTGTTTTTTTCAGCACTCAGAAGCTTTGCATTACAGAAGTGTTAAGTATTATATTACAGTGAACAAATCTTAACGTCCAGGTACAAAGGTCCGAATGTGGCGAAGATACTGTCAGTCAGTCACAGCGTAGAATTTCGTACGTACGTACATCAGTTCGAGCTGCCATACCAAATTAGCACAGAGATAAAGTTGTCGATTCAAATCCCATAGTGGTTGAAGTAGTAAGAGTATAAGTATTATGTGAAAGATTAGGGTTTGAATATGTTATTCAAAGAGTGTAATCCAGTGAAATAAATTTGAAAAGAGAAAAAAAAGATCGGAACATGAAGAATTCAGAATATTAGAATTTGGGGGAACACAAAGAGTGGATGCACCTTCGTCATTGTAAACGATTTTGAGCCATGTCATTCAAGGTCTCTAACCATCGGTTGCTATCATCTCGCGGATCCCAACCAGGTAGTCTACACCTACCAACATGGCTCAGTCCACTTGTCAGTGACTTCATGGATTTGTACCACGTTTTGGTCTGGCCGCCCCTAGCTTTCTTCCAATCTACTCCTGCATCATAAAACATTGCACGTCGGAGCAGTCGGTTGTTGGGCATACGTAACACGTGTCCCAGCCATCTCAACTGATGAGGTTTCACTAATTCGTCAATGGATTTGCCATCCTTACCTAGTACCCGTTTCCTGACAACTGCATTACTAACTCGGTGGTCCCAGGATATACGAGCAATGCTTCTGTTGCAGCAATTGAAACGGTAAAAAGGATGACAGAAATCTTTGGCCCATTTTCCTTTAAAGTTCGCTTTACTGTTTCAATCGTAAAGAGAAATCTTCAAAATTATCTACAAGAATTATGGTTTCCTAACGTGAACGAATGTTCTATGAGGTCTGGTATATTTGTCTATGCCACCTACTTTTTGAAGCTACAGTATTTCAATAGCTGCTAAACTACTTGTGTCTATGAGACAGTAGGTAAATGATTGTAAGTTTCAACGAACTAAGGTGGCTAGTCATGTATTAAATGTGATAAAATAGCAGCTAACAAAGCCTGTGACATGTAGAAGTGTAAAAAAATTAGGAAAATCAGACTGTGACATACTAACGGTTCACAGCATCGTGGGTCGTCGGTTCAAACTCTATGATAAAGTATCAGCTTCCTGTCTGAGGTTCTCTGTTATGAAACGAATTTTCAGTCTTCCAGAGGCGTGATTAAAAAAGCCTTATTATTGGTGCGAGCGAGTTTACTTTATCTTCCCCTGAATCTCAAATGTTTTACCACACATCTTCCACTGTTTACATGTGTCCTCTCTATACTGACATTTTCCAAGTTTTCTTTTATTTTTTTACTGAATTAGTATAAGTATTTCAGCTTTAAAAGTCAGTCACTCCCTGAATATCTCATCACATTGGGAGCATCAGTTCTCATAAGGATGGGAATACTCCCTGGTGAATAATCTCATATATAACAAAACACAATTCCAGTTCTTTTTGTCAATCTCATCTAACCATCTAAAACCACTTAATTTTTCTCAACTACTATGAATTTCAAATGCTGCGTTGCGAATTAGACTGCTCCCCAACTTGATGAGTTTTTTTCGTTTGAATACTATCATCGAACGTTTTACGTAAAGAATAAAATCCACAAATTATCATTAGCAATGACATATGATTTCCAAGTTGTACAATTTTACGTTCCTGTTATTACCCTAATATTATCTTTCCTGGGATTAAATACCTTTCCATCAAGCGGTGAGGCTATATTTTATGGACGACCTTTGAGTGACGCTAAAGGGATCTTGAGTATGTGCACTTAATAATTAGGACCAAATGAGGGTTATAAACCAGTGTGAAGAATTAGAATTATGATTTGCGGTTGATGGTTAGGGTTAGGAATTAGATTCAAGGTTTTCATCACGAACTGACATCAGCTTTAATACCAAAACGCCTTTTAGCTGAATGGATAATTGAATTTCGCGTTAAAATCCAAGACGTGTTATTTTATATCTGATTGGTTCGTCCATAAATTTTAGTCTCACCCATCGAACTAATGATTCCATCAAAACCTATTTAACTGGGACACTAATCTGTACTTGTGTTATGACTCTATGAGTAATGTCAATGATATCAATAATGTGGCTCTTTCTTTTTTTATAGACTAGATCTAGGTGGTCTTTTAGAAGTATTTGAAAAAGATCGGTTGTAAAGGAAGACATAATCATTGTATTGAATTGCACAAAAAAGTTATGCCTGTCAAATCCGATATGAAGGATAAAACAGCACAATCAGATATAAAAGATAAATCGAAAAAAGGGAGATATAGTTTAAAAAGATTGTTAGATCGAAGTCGATTTTCACCCAGCTTATTATTTTTGTCAAAATCTAATACAAGCAAATCAACTGATACATCCAATGAACAACGTAAATCTGTCCATGATGATATGGTAAGCGATTATGTTTTCTGATGAATAATAATAAAAGTTAAATAAAATTATAATAAACAGGAAGATTTTCATACTCAAAATTACTTTATATGAATCTTTTTTGTTTTAACAAAAAGTATATACGGATATATATTTGGTGCCTCCTTGTACCAATGTTTATGTGTTTAAATAAATAAATATTCACCAATGATTTAGAAATTAATAATGATTAAAAATATTGTTGAATAGTAAATGGTGTTTTCATATGTACATGATATTAAAATGCGGGCTTTGGAAAGAATTCTTTGCTTATTTTGCAATTGACCTAGTAGCAAAGTGGCTAAGTTATTTCAATTGTGATCAGTAGGTCTCAAGGTATGAGAACTTAGACCAATCCATACTTTGGTAACTAAATTTGTGACATGTTTGAACTTCATTCCACCTATTTCGGCTCAGGCAACCGAGTAATATTATTGACTTTCACAATTGGATTATGACTCATGGTCGAGTACACAAAAGAGTTGGATTAGTTATTACTACTATTTATCGGCTAGTCCCATTGATTGTTTCATTTTAGTTGTGATAACCTTCACATTATTACGTAAAGCGAATTTCAGTCAAAACGTATTACATCGTTTACTAGCAAAAATACATAGAGAAGTTAAATAATTTATGCCATAGAAATTGTCACTCCTTCCTTTTCAATGATAATTTTTTTAAACAGTATGATTTTTATTTTCCTGTTAGATTTGTCAACTCCGCCTGGAGCCCCTCTGGGGTTACTGCCAGTCCCAAGCCTGGATAAAGGAGGAGGGTTGGGCATGGGGTTGGCGACCCTATCCCGTAGAAAACTAACTCGCTAAAAAATGCTATCCAGAAAAAGTAACACAAATAATTTAAGCTGTGCCCTGAGAGTTAGAAGGTCTTCATTTAGTAGAGTTATGATTCCTTATGGTGAAATCCAAGTTCCTTCGGAAGTCACGAGGCCGATGCCCCTTCTGACAACCAGAGCAACCATTAATTTAGGTACATGGAACGTTCTTACAATATGGAAGACCGGGAGAGCCATCCAAATTTCTGAAGAAACGAAAAGATACAACCTGAAGGTGCTTGGAATCAGTGAAACACATTGGACGCAGGTTGGACAACAACGACTGTCTTCAGGAGAACTTCTGTTATACTCCGGTCATGAAGAAGAAAATGCCCCACATACACAAGGAGTTGCACTGATGCTATTCAAACGAGCACAAAATACACTTATAGGATGAGAATCTCATAGACCCAGGATCGTCAAAGCCTCCTTCAAAACAAAGAGAGAGGGCATTACAATGAACGTCGTCCAATGCTATGCGCCAACCAACGATTACAATGAAGACATTAAAAACCAATTATACGATAGGCTTCAGTCGATCGTCGAGAAGTGCCCAACCAAGGACCTGACAATTCTGATGGGAGATTTCAATGCCAAGGTTGGAATGGACGACACCACATATGAAGACATGGACTGGGAGAAAGGAAAGAAAATGGTGAGAGATTTGTGCCTTCAATAAACTGGTCATAGGTGGCACCATATTTCCACATAAAAACATACACAAAGCCACTTGGATTTCACCGGATCACACTACACAGAATCAAATCGACCATATCTACATCAACAAAAAGTTCAGGAGGACGATGGAGGATGTGAGAACCAGAAGAGGAGCTGATATAGCATCAGATCATCACTTGCTGGTCGCCACGATGAAACTGAAACTCAAGAAGCACTAGACAACGGGGCGGACAATATCACAAAGGTTTAATATGGCCTTTCTTCGAGATACTGACAGACCCAACGAATTCAAGATATCCCTCAGCAATGGATTCTAGGCCTTTCATGATCTACTCAGTGGAGAGGGAACTACTATGGAGAACAACTGGAAAGGGATCAAGGAGGCAATCATTTCAACATGTCAGAAGGTTCTGGGCCACAGGAAGCATCATCACATGGAAGGAAGGCAAAGTAATCACCAACATTGAAGAACAACGAAACAGGTGAGTAGAGTGCTTTAAGTAACTCTTGAATCGATCAGCCCCATTGAACCCACCCAACATCAAAGAAGCATCCACGGACCTCCCAATCGATGTTGGCCCACCAAGAGATCAGCATGGCCATTAGACAAATCAAGAGCGGCAAAGCAGCACGACCAGACAACATTCCACCAGAGGCACTGAAAGAAGAGGTCACAGTAACTGCAAAGATACTCCACATTCTCTTCAGCAAGATTTCGGATGAAGAACAAGTGCCAGCAGACTGGAAAGATGGACTTCTGATCAAGATACCAAAGAAAGACGATCTCAGCAGGTGTAATAATTACAGAGCATCACTCTGCTCTCAATACCAGAGAGTCTTCAACAGGGTGTTGGTAAATAGAATGAGGGACTCTGTAGACGCCCAACTTCGAAACCAACAGGCTGGATTTCGTAAGGATCGATCGTGTACTGACCAAATCGCAACACTACGGATCATTGTGGAACAATCAATTGAATGGAATTTATAACTCAACATCAACTTCATTGACTACGAGGAAGCATTTGGTAGCGTGGACAGGACAACACTATAGAGGCTTCTTCGACATTACTGTGTGCATGAGAAGATAGTTAGTATCATACGGAATTCCTATGATGAATTAAACTGCAAAATCGTGCATGAAGGACAGCTGACAGACTCGTTCGAGGTAAAGACCGATGTCAGGCAAGGTTGCTTACTTTCTCTTCTGGTGATCGACAGGATAATGAAGACATCAACATCTGGAGGGAAGTATGGGATACAGTGGACAGCTATGATGCAGCTGGACGATCCAGACTTCGCAGACAATCTGGCTCTTCTATCACACATGCAACAACAAATGCAGAAGAGGACCAGTTTAGCAACAGCCTCAGCAGCAGTAGGTCTCAATATAAACAAAGGGAAAAGCAAGACTCCCATACAACACAACATACACTAATCAAATCACAGTTGACGGAAAAGCTTTGGAGGACGTAAAACGTTTTACAAACCTAGGCAACATCATTGATGAACACGGTGGTTCTGGTGCAGATGTGAGTGCGCGAATCGGCAAAGCTACAATTAAAGAACATCTGGAACTCAAAACAATTGTTAACCAACGCCAAAGTCAGAATTTTCAATACAAATGTGAAAATAGTTCTACTGTATGGGGCGGAAACATTGAGAACTACGAAAGCCATCATCCAGAAGTTACAGATGTTTGTTAACAGTTGTCTACGTAAGATACTTCGAATCCGTAGGCCAGACACTATTAGCAACATTCTACTGTGGGAGAGAACAAACCAGATTTCAGTGGAGGAGGAAATCAGGAAGAAGCGCTGGAAGTGGATTGGATATACATTGAGAAAACCACCCAACTGAATCTTAAGGTTAAGCCCTTGGAATCCTGAAGGCCGAAGGAAGAGAAGAAGACCAAAGAACACATTACGCCGAGAAACGGAAATAGATAAGAGAAGAGTGAACAAAAGTTGGACAGAACTAGAGAGAAAGGCCGAGGACAGAGTAGGTTAGAGAATGCTGGTCGGCGGCCTATGCTTCATTGAGAGTAACAGGAGTAAGTAAGAAAGAATCTACTGATAACATTACCTACTAATTACGCATACATGTAATGGTTTTGTTTTCAATCTTATCGGCTTCTCGCAATTTTACTCTTCTTTTTTGTGGCCTCTTCACATTAAAGCAACCTTTTAAAGACGCATAAGATCGCATTCCTAAAGTTTACTATCTACTATAGTAATTTAACTTACCTTTCAAAATAACCTAGAAAATTATGTTAGATGCAATGGTTGCTTCGTAAAATCTTAATTTGCTTAATAGATCACTGAGTGGATGTAAGATCAATGTTGGTGAATTTCAAGTTCGGGCTGTTAAGTGTACTTAAAAATACAACGAGTGTTTGTTCCCACAAGAAACATAACACTCAATTTTAGTTGTTGTATCAGGTTACTTTAACACTGAAATAGGTAGTCTTATCCAAGAGGATAACATTTAGGTCGTGCTTTTAAAACTCAAATCTGCCAAAGAAATTATGACCTTACTTATTTCTAGCTACAATCATTTATAGACGTATAAAAATATTTAACTTTGCGACTGGTATTGTTAAACAGTTTGGGAGTGTACACAAACAAATCAAATCACCATAATCTCTCTTTCTAGATAACACGATCAGATTTCGACCTTCAGTTAAGGTCTATGTATGCTTGAGTTGTTTTAGAGACATAAAGATCACTACGGTAACAGCTCTTCGAGCTCGGTCAACTAATGTCAGTTATCTGCTTCAGAAAGAACTGGTTAAGTGTTTACTAAGTAGAGCATGTTGTTGACTACTATGAAAGCAAGGTGTTCAACTGTCACCAAAGTTCACCAGGTTGCGAGAACCCGGAAGACCGCATTAATTTCTAAGTTAATCGGTCACTGTGGACTCATCCTGGTGGACCCTGAACAATATAAAGAAAACAGTTTAAATATAGTCTGACTAGAGGACTAAACAATAGTAAATTGATAACGTTATTAGCCTTAATCAACTAAATTACTTTGGAAATTGATTACATATACTCAACTAATGTCTGTTTTAGCGCTTTGCGCAGATTAACCTAGAAGTAGCTTAGGAAAAATGAAGGTTACCAAGAACAAGACGTGTCGTCAATCTATTGAATAACTGACTTTTGACTTGACTTATATATGGAAGTAAAAGTTTTGGTAGGAGTCCACAAGCAACCATGGTATAGGTCAGAATCGGTCACATTCGTCCAGATGGGTTTATTCTTTGTTTTAAGTTTAAAGCATAAATATACTCTATCTTTTATCACCGAGTTTCGCTCATTTCTCGTGTACTTTTTAGTCACCCTTTAACGCCTGTAACATTATTTCTTCTTTCTTTGCTATGAGGTATATCAGTTTTGATCAGTTAGCATTTGCAACAGAGCTTGGATTGTTTTTTTCGCCATCTTCAAACTAGTTTAAATATTTTATTTGGATGAAGTGGGATAGTTAAAATGCCTGTTTAGTTCGTTCATTTCGACTCATTAGTATGTATAGGTAATTTAATTAGAGTTTCCCGAAGAATTTGAGCGAAACAAATCTTACCATAAATGTAATATTACGATGTTAGTTTCGTTATCTTAATATATTTTTAGTTAATCAAATTATTTATGCACGGTACAAATATTGAAGTAACGTCAATGTATTTTGAACTCAAATTGATTTCAATCCAAAATTATTTGAATATTTCTCAAATTATTGAGACATCTATTCAATGATAGCTTTTTTTGTTTAATTTAAACAAAAATAACATTTTATTATTTACATTAGTATCTTATTGATTAATACATGAGAATAAGAATTTCTGTTTGGCAAGAAAATCAATGATAAACGATGATTTACAAAGATAAATGGTTGTATAACAAACGTTGAAAAAATGATTTTCTTTCACTTTTACTTTCATTGAATTAAATTTTTGGATTCCATCTACATATGTATGTAAGATGGTAGTTGGAGGTGGTCAACAGGAAACCCTGGACCCGTTTTTCGTGCTACTTGGCGCTCGTCAGCAAGGTGTACCTGTAAATTTGAGGGAACTGATGCTCTCTGGCGGATTCGATCCCATGTCACTCAGCTTCACAGTCAGAGACGTTACCACTGAGCTATTCGGGCCGCGATCGACCTCCTATAGAACTAAGATGTAATGACAATTGATTGATCACTGGGTGGTGATCAATGTCACGACATTGATCACCACCCAGTGATCAATCAATTGTCATTACATATGTATGTATCTTAACCTGTAATGCTCGAAACTTCAGATGGTATTGTTAGTTATAATGTACGCCTATAAAAATGATCAAGGAATATAGTGTTACTTTTATTACCATTAATATTCAATACGAAAAGATAAATTTATCAAAATGACAATTCATGCACATTACAAACTGTTAATGTATTTAGTTAATTTTTTACCGTAAATGTTGTTATCTAATGATGGTGATGATGATTAATTTTATTGTTCAACGCAATTTCAGTTCCTCTGCTTTTTAAAAACAAGTTTTAATCTAGCGAATTCACTATATTGTTTGATAATTTGTGGTATATATATCTATATATATCAGTTACATCATTTCAGTTGTATATTTCATGTATTCATTAGTGCTACTGGATCTTCATCAAGCTTCGAACTTTCACCTAGTAACAAAGTGTGCATATATTTATATATTAACTTGCGTGCAAAACAATAATATGGTCACAATCGTTTAGATAGTTCATGAAATTATGAGATTTAGTTTACACTTGTACTTATGCGCATCTTTTCACTATGTGTATTTTATGCATGATGAGGTGAATGTATGTGTATGTTATCACCTATAATTTAGTTTGTTAACACATGTTTTAATTCATGTAGGAGTTGTCTTATTTAATGGTACAATTTGTTATTGCTGTTTGTAATTGTGATAATTTTGTTCATGATAAAATGTTTTATATTTTACATCAAGTTTTTTAAGGGATAAATATGATGATGCTATGGGGTTATTTTGTTACATCATTTTATGATTTCTAAGGAGAAATTTTTATATACACTATAAATTGCTTAGGACAGTTTACTTTGTGATAAATAAAATCAGAGGCGACTTAATTTTGTTAGAAAATTTCAAGTTATGTCGGTTTCCAATTTTTCAAACTCTTTTATGTTACCCGTTATGGAAAACATTTTTCTACATAAATGTACTTATTATTTCACTGTGAACATATACGGCTGAAATGATTGGTATCCAAAATATTAAATGATAACATTGTTAAATACTTGTCTCATGGTATTGAATTTTTTTGGCTTAGTTGTAATCTTAAAGCATTTCACTCTCAATAATAAGTTTAAAGTTTAAAACTAGTCTTAATTGTCTTGATTTAGGTAGTCAGTTAAATATTATTCACCCGTACGAAAATATATGTGACTTATAGTAGTTGGTTAACGTCACAATAATGATAATGATAACATTGAAGTTGACCTTCAATTTCTGTTTACTTTTTACAAATTATTGATTTATTTACCATCTTTTTCCTGTTAAATTTAAGATGGACATCAATGTGAATGTTGAAAATTCACCGTCTTCATCACCACATTCCTATTCACCGAATTTCGGAAGACGTTTAACAGCTTCTGTACCATTTGATTGTGCTTCCAATTCGCCCATAATTACCAGTACCGCTTTTCGAAATCCAACTTATAGCAGTGATCATGCAAGTCCCAATTCAGAAGTAAGTTTATAGTTTATTTTTTCTGTACTGAAACAATACCAACAGTCTTGATGATGAAATCATAGGTTCGAGTCAGTCATAAAATATAGTATCTGTTTTTTAGTATTCTGAATAAAAACAATAAACTTTAATAATGGAAAAATGTTTAAGGTCTGTTTACAGACTTATGAATTATACATAATGAAACTGATGGAAATCAAGTTTAGCGCGGGTTTCACATCGATCAATCTCAAGCTCTTAAGATCTAACAAAATTCACCGCGATGCTTAGTCACGTAGACTAGTTTTGGATACTTTACAATTATATCCAAAAAGGCTTGACAAATATGTCAGTCAGTCAATCAACCTAGAACTTCGTACGTACATACATCAGTTTGAGTTGCCATACCAATCTCCTGAATTAAGAATGAATGATGTGTCCATCTTTATCCGAGATAGTTTCACTGATACTTGGGTTCCTAATACCGGTTTCTTTAACAAGTCTGAGTAGTTGTCTGCGGTTACCTATTGCCGCTGCCTTTTCCATCTCTCTTGCTTTCGCTACTCACCACTGTTCGCGATCATTGCGTAGACTTCTTGTTAGCCTTCGCTTAAGCTGACTCCGCTCTTTGTTATGTTCAGAGCCAGGTGGGATGAGTTTTCGAGCATCTATCAGTGAGGTGGATGCTGCCGAAATCCATTGTTTCTCCCTAACCTTATGGTTTACCTTACTAGCGGATATCACTGCTGTTTCCACAGCTTTTCGGATGTCATTCCACGCTGCCTCGGGGTAGGCACAACTTACATGTTTGCCTAACTGTTTTCCCAGTTGTTCCTGAAATACTTTTTTAGCTTGGCTATCATTAAGTAGAACCCTTAGAGGTTCCCATGCAGTGTCTTTCCTACGTCCAGTAAGACGCAGACAGATACGTGCTCTCACTAGAGCATGATCTGAATCTAAGCATGTGCTCTAGAATGAGCGACAGTATTCTGTCGAACCCCTCCATCGGTGGCTAATAGCGATGTGATCTATTTGGGTACAACGTTAGAACTAATTCGGGGGTCGTCATGTCAAAAGATATTTTTCCTTGTGCTTAAAGTTAGTATTTGCAAGAAACAGGTGGTTATCTGAGCATAGCTTCAACAGACGGTCGCCATTATCTGTCCTATGAGCCACGACACCATAAGATCTACCCAGGTGTATTTCTCCTTCGCTTAGTTTACTTACTTGAGCATTAAAGTCACCTGCCACTATTACTACATCAGAGCCTACAGGAACATATGTTCCAGCCAATTTAGCTCGGTTGGGTCATCACGATAGGCAAGCCTGATCACCACGTCAAGGTAGCAGTTACGGTCGAGTGACATATATGTTAATGTTTATTACTAAGTTACAGATTAGCGTTAAAAGATACAAATGTTCCGTATATAAATAAAATTGTAAATTTTACAAATGAAAATAGCTTAATAACTATAAAGTTTATGATATGTACATTGTTAACCCTTACATCGTTCCATTAAATTGAAAAGTTCTACACATTAGAATGTTCTTAATGTTTTCATTTTTATTTCTCCAAAATATCGCAATCATAAGCGGGTTTATGTATAAGTTACCAACAGTCCTACATTGTATACAGTTTTTTCCACATTTACAACATTTAATTTTCTGTCAAATTTTTTTAATGCCTTACAGTTATGCTGAATTTTGATAAAGTAGTAGGAAAATTGTCAAATCTTCAGAAGTACTAATTTTAAATGCATGTATCTGAATTCATATTCTAATACAACTGAATTACTTTTAATGTAAACAACTTACCCTTTTTAAATTAGTATTCTATCACATTTGCGAAGCAATATTTACAGTTTGTTTATATTATCAGGAACTATAGAGAGTGAGAAAAATGAACACGAAACGGTCTTTAGCATAATAACGTGTAATGTAATATAACAGATTGGAGAATATCTCTTATGTTGCGTTAAATGATATCTACCTGAAATAGATTGTCAATCTGTTTATAAAGAAATGGATTTCTTGAAAAAATTTCACGCATCAATCATAATAATAATAAAATAAATCTGTTTATCTAATATAAAGCAAACAATTATGTCTGTTACTTTGTTAATATTATACTAAGTCGTTCATGGTTTTTATACCGTTATTCTCCATACCTCAAGAATTGATATGTTAATTTCGAAAATCAATCTGTCTTGCATACTATTCTTAACTGTTATATATATATATATATATATATATATATATATATATATTACTTACTTACTTACTTTCGCCTGTTACTCCCAATGGAGCATAGGCCGCCGACCAGCATTCTCCAACCCACTCTGTCCTGGGCCTTCTTTTCTAATTCTATCCAGTTCTTGTTCATTCTTCTCATGTCTGTCTCTATTTCTCGGCGTAATGTGTTCTTTGGTCTTCCTCTTCTCCGTTGACCTTCAGGATTCCATGTGAGGGCTTGTCTTGTGACGCAATCGGGTGATTTCTTCAAAGTGTGCACAATCCACTTCCAGCGCTTCCTCCTGATTTCTTCCTCCGCTCGAATCTGATTTGTTGTCTCCCACAGTAACTTGTTGCTGATAGTGTCTGGCCATCTGATCCGAAGTATCTTGCGTAGACAGCTGTTAATAAACACTTGTATCTTCTGGATAATGGCTTTCGTAGTTCTCCATGTCTCCGCCCCATACAATAGAACTGTCTTGACATTTGTATTGAAAATTCTAACCTTGGTGTTGGTTGACAATTGTTTTGAGTTCCAGATGTTTTCAGTTGTACGTATGCTGCTCTTTCTTTGCCGATCCTCGCCCTCACATCTGCATCAGATCCACCGTGTTCATCAATGATGCTGCCCAGATATGTAAAGGTTTCCACATCCTCCAAAGCTTCTCCGTCAAGTGTAATTTGATTGGTGCATATTGTGTTGTATCGGAGAGTCTTGCTTTTCCCTTTGTTTATATTGAGACCTACTGCTGCTGAGGCTGCTGCTACACTGGTCGTTTTCTCCTGCATTTGTTGTTGCGTTTGTGATAGAAGAGCCAGATCATCCGCGAAGTCTAGATCGTCAAGTTGCATCCTGTCTGTCCACTGTATGCCGTGCTTTCCTCCAGTCGTTGATGTCTTCATGATCCAGTCGATTACCAGGAGAAAGAGAAAGGGTGAGAGTAAGCAACCTTGCCTTACACCAGTCTTTACTTCAAACGAGTCGGTGAGTTGTCCTCCGTGGACGATTTGGCAGTTTAGTCCATCATGGGAGTTCTGTATGATATTGACTATCTTCTCAGGCACTCCGTAGTGTCGAAGAAGCCTCCATAGTGTCGTCCTGTCCACGCTATCAAATGCTTTCTCGTAGTCGATGAAGTTGATGTAGAGTGATGAATTCCATTCGATTGATTGTTCCACAATGATACGTAGAGTTGCGATTTGATCTGTGCACGATCTATCCTTACGAAATCCAGCTTGTTGATCTCGAAGTTGGGCGTCCACGGAATCCTTCATCCTGTTTAATAATACTCGGTTGTAGACTTTTCCTGGTACTGAGAGGAGAGTGATGCCCCTGTAGTTGTCGCACTTGCTAAGATCACCTTTCTTTGGTATTTTGATCAGAAGTTCTTTTTTCCAGTCTGTTGGAACTTGTTCTTCGTCCCAAATCTTACTGAAGAGGATGTGGAGTATCTTGGCAGTTGCTGTTACATTTGCTTTCAGTGCCTCTGCCGGGATGTTGTCTGGTCGTGCTGCTTTGCCGCTCTTGATTTGTCTAATGGCCATGCTGATCTCTTCAATTGTTGGTGGGCCAACATCAATTGGGGGGTCTGTGGGTGCTGCTTCGATGTTGGGTGGGTTCAGTGGAGCTGGTCGATTTAAGAGTTCTTTGAAGTGTTCTACCCACCTGTTACGTTGTTCTTCAATGTCGGTGACTACTTTGCCTTCCTTGTTTTTCACTGGTCTTTCCGGCTTACGGTGATTTCCAGCAAGTTTCTTTGTTGTATGATACAGTTGTCTCATGTTTCCCTCTCTTGCGGCCTTTTCCGCTGTCGTCGCTAAATCTTCCACATATTTACGTTTGTCGGTTCTGATGCTCCTCTTCACTTTCTTGTTTGCCTCTGTGTATTCGGCTTGTGCCTTGGCTTTTTCCGCTCTTGTTCGGCTGATATTGATTGCTGCCTTCTTGTTCCTCCTTCCTTCAATCTTATCCAGTGTACCAACAGTGATCCATTCCTTGTGATGGTGCTTCTTTTGGCCCAGAACCTCCTGACATGTTGAAACGATTGTCTCCTTGATACCTTTCCAGTTGCTCTCCATGGTAGTCCCCTCTCCATTGAGTAGGTCATGAAAGGCCTCGAACCTGTTGCTGAGGGCTATGTTGAATTTGTTGAGTTTGTCAGCATCTCGAAGAAAGGCCGTATTAAACTTTTGTGATGTTGTCAGCGCCGTTGTCCAGTGCTTCTTGAGTTTTAGTTTCATCTTGGCGACCAGCAAATGATGATCGGATGCTATATCAGCTCCTCTTCTGGTTCTCACATCCTCCATCGTCCTCCTGAACTTTTTGTTGATGCAGATATGGTCGATTTGATTCTGTGTAGTGTGATCCGGTGAAATCCAAGTGGCTTTGTGTATGTTTTTATGTGGAAATATGGTGCCACCTATGACCAGTTTATTGAAGGCACAAATCTCTCACCATTTTCTTTCCTTTCTCCCAGTCCATGTCGTCCCATGATGTCTTCATATGTGGTGTCGTCCATTCCAACCTTGGCATTGAAATCTCCCATCAGAATTGTCAGGTCCTTGGTTGGGCACTTCTCGACGATCGACTGAAGCCTATCGTATAATTGGTTTTTAATGTCTTCATTGTAATCGTTGGTTGGCGCATAGCATTGGACGACGTTCATTGTAATGCCCTCTCTCTTTGTTTTGAAGGAGGCTTTGACGATCCTGGGTCTATGAGATTCTCATCCTATAAGTGTATTTTGTGCTCGTTTGAATAGCATCAGTGCAACTCCTTGTGTATGTGAAGAGTTTTCTTCTTCATGGCTGGAATATAACAGCAGCTACCCTGAAGCTAATCTTTGTTGTTTATCCTGCGTCCAATGTGTTTCACTGATTCCAAGCACCTTCAGGTTGTATTTTCTCATTTCTGCAGCAATTTGGAAGACTCTGCCGGTCTCCCACATTGTCCGGACATTCCATGTACCTATAAAAATTGTTGCTCTGGTTGTAAGAAGGTGCATCGGCCTCATGACTTCCGAATGAACTCGGCTTTCATCATGAGACGTCATAATTATTCCTTCTACTCCCAGGGCAGATTTTGAAATGTTTGAATGATTTTTTCTGGTTAGCGTTTTTTTGGCGAGTTGATTTTCTACGGGATGGGGTCGCTAACCCCATGCTCAACCCTCCTCCTTTCCCGAGCTTGGGACCGGCAGTAACCCCCAGAGGAGCTACAGGCGGAGTTATATATATATATATATATATATATATATATATATATATTGATGTATAAAAACGCAAATAAATATTTGAGCTTTGGCACAAAATAATATAACATCTGACTACACTGAGCACTGATAAACAGAATAGTCGGTTGTATTTTATGACTGAATATACTAGACCTCTGTAAAATATAATTAAGCCACCGTACTAGATCACGTGGTTTACACAGACGGAATATCTGACCGACAGTTAAAAGGCGAACAACAGATCAGAATCACGGTTTATCGAAATAAAATATCGTCCAATCACTTAATGTAAAATACAAATCGTGAATTCAACCTTTTACACATAACAATAGTTTATATAATGAGTAATTGTGTCTCCGTTCATGGGCCAGTCGTATCTTATTTGCATTAGCCACACTTCGTGTATAGTTGATAACTTCCCTTAAACTATCAAACTATTAGTATTCACGCTTCCTCAAGTTTCTTGCTACTTATGGTTGGTTTCGACTCCTTGCAGGATATCCTATTCAGTTTTATCATAAACTAAAGTATATAAGCCATTGTGATGAAATACTGTTTTTATAGTCAGCTATTTATGGTTTATTTCTAATGAATCGACTTGGGAGTAAGTGATGATATAATCATGTGCTTCAAAGTGGTAAAACGCTTACAATTAGTATACTTTTTATTCTCTAACTACATTTAACCAACATCAGTGATCAACCAAGTAAAAGTGCAATGTTTTATCAAAATCAACTGTCGAATGAAGATATTTATTCATATTCTCTGCGGTATTTTTCAGCACATTTAATAATCAGTCATTGCTGTACATTATATAAAGGTTCATAGCTTCTTGGAGATTGCCTCAGACCACCTAATATTGGGTAAATTAAACAACGGAGTTTAGTGATTTAGTTCAGTGATTGTGCTACAGAATTGGCTAAAAATAAAGTACACTAAGGGCAATGTAATACAACATCAGTTACTGAATGAAGTTGCTTTAAAGAAATGTGTCTATTGATACATTGCACAAAGTTGTAAAGGCCTACATTTTTAACCAAGTATGTAGCGCAATCGCTTAGCTAATTCATTAAACACTGTTACTAAAGTCATTCAATATTAGGTGATCTGTGGCAATCTCCATGAACCTGTGAACCTAAAATGCTGGTATTCATTGACATTGTTATGCCGAATCATAAGCCATATTGAAAACGTGATTGAAGTCTTTCGATTAGCTCTGCAAAATATACTATGTGGCATTCGTTGGCTAATGTGTTCGGTTTTCAGGCACTAAATCCCAGGTTCAAACTCTACTCTGCCTACTTTAGTTTTGACAGCCTAGTAAGTATCATTAACCCTGACTCATACCAAGGTACCTTGCGAATAAACTGAAAGAAATATTTATTATCCGGCTGCGGGTCGATAGCTAACTAAGTGCACAGACTTTTTATAACAATATTACATTTTCATAAGACGGTAGAGCTTCGTCTAGGGAATCTTAATCATTTTTTCCACCGTGTATGCATATCAATACAGGTTTATCGCATTGTCAGTTCTCTATTTTCTTGAAATTGCATTATGTCACTGTTGGACAGCCCTGATTCCCATAATTTTAATGGCATTCATTAGTCTCATAGATAAAAGCTCCCGTAAATGACAGATGAGTAACACCATATCCTGTAAACTTCCGATTCCGTTATTTATTATCATTGTTTATAAACATTTGTTCTAGATCTGTCTTTTCTTCTTGACGTGGTTTTTGCGCCGTCATATTATTTGTTATGCAGTTAATTTTGAATGCATCACTTCGATTTTTCTCTTCATAAACCTTTCTACATTAATATTTTAATTGTATTAGTTTATTGTTGAGGAAGAATATGAAGAATCTTTGGCAAATTTCGCTGATACGATACTGGATGGACTGAAAGCTCGTTCAAATCCCTGTTCTAGAAAATCACCAGATACATTTTCAGCTTGGTCTGATGCTGCTTTACCTGTTGGAAATATTATAGTACCTATGCATTGTGGATCTATACCATTTAGTGGAAGCAGTGTTGATTCACATCGTCAACATCAGCACCATAATCAACAATATCATGAAATATCTGACAGTGTTGTTGTTACACCACCACTACTGACTAATTTCGATCCATGTAATAAATCATTAAATAATAATTATAATAATGTTAATAATACTTTGAATAACATAAATCCTACTGGAATATACAACGAACCATGTGATGCTAAATCGTCACTATTAAATGAACCAATTACAATTTATACAACTAGAAGTGTTATCATGAAAAATACACCTGTAGAATGTAATCTCTTGGAGAACAGGTATTTATTGTTGGGTGTTAATTTTTAGTTTGAAAAAATTTCATTAAATATTACTGTCATTTTTATTTATATTGCATTTTGTTGGTTTTAATCATTTTTTTTATTTTAATAATTTGGACTAAAAAGAGATATGGAATTTAGTTTCTGATTGAAATGTATTGACCATTTATCATGTTGACAAAATTCCTATAAATATTATGGTTACTTAATCCTAATCTGAAATCTGTAAACACAGTAACCTACTGACAGTTTTCCCGACCGTTGCTGCTACCTTGACGTGGTGGTCGGGCTTGCCTATCGTGATGAAGCAATCGAGCTATGCTGGCTGGAACAATCGTTCCTCGATGTCCTACCATGCCTAACAGGTCGGTTGAAGAGCGGTAAGACTAAAAGCAGCAATCCCAAGGTCCGAAGGCGAAGTCGTACTGCCGACTGTACAGAAGTGTGACGGCAGTAACGTGTTTCCTTCACACAACCAGCACGACAGCGATGCTGCCTTCCCACAAGGAGGGGTGAGGTTAGAAAAGGTCGACCCTAAAAATGCACACCTCGCCTTATCCCACGGATTTCCGTCTCCGGCGGTAAAGTCCTTTGAAGAACGAAGCTAACACGTCAAAAATCCCCCACAAAAAGGCCGTGCGTGACCGGCCTCAAGCAGTTATCCCTTGAGCACTGCGGTTACGCTCCCAGGTCGTTAAGACCAGCACTAATCCAACTTCTTTTTCAGGTCCCTCCAGAAATACCCTTCCACGGTGTGGGCAGCCGGGAAGTGATATTATCCCTCATACCCGTAACTACACACGAGACCAAGTTGGTCACTTTTAAATCCCTCCTACACCTAATAACTCTGTTATCTCCACGACTAACCCTTCCCATGTCCTTTTATCACCTCGCACCGCTAGGACAAACGATTCAAGTACACGGAACGTTATTCTTGGTCTCCTGAAACCTCGCTCTAAACTACATGTAGGAACTTTTAATGTCCGAACATTGTGCCAAATAGGACAACAGGCTTCCTTAGCTAGGACTCTAGAATCTTACACCATCTATGCGTGCTGCGTCTCCGAAACGCGCATACAAGATCCGAGTAGCGTCATTCATTTGACCTCACTATATCAAAATAAAGAACCATCTCGATACACGCTTCGTGTATCTGGAAGCCCTGATGCTGCTTCCCGTGACCTCGCTGGAGTAGGTATAGCATTAAGTCGTAGGGCAGAACTAGCTCTTTTAGATTGGATCCCAGTAGACAGTCGTCTATACGCTGTCCGACTAAACGGATCAGTAAGGACTCGGAAAGATAGGGAAACTCGTCGTTGCCTCTTCGTCGTCTCTGTCTACTCTCCCACTGACTGCGGCTCAAGTAAGTAAACTAAGCGAAGGAGAAATACACCTGGGTAGATCTTATGGTGTCGTGGCTCATAGGACAGATAATGGCGACCGTCTGTTGAAGCTATGCTCAGATAACCGCCTGTTTCTTGCAAATACTAACTTTAAGCACAAGGAAAAATATCTTTTGACATGACGACCCCCGAATTAGTTCTAACGTTGTACCCAAATAGATCACATCGCTATTAGCCACCGATGGAGGGGTTTGACAGAATACTGTCGCTCATTCTAGAGCACATGCTTAGATTCAGATCATGCTCTAGTGAGAGCACGTATCTGTCTGCGTCTTACTGGACGTAGGAAAGACACTGCATGGGAACCTCTAAGGGTTCTACTTAATGATAGCCAAGCTAAAAAAGTATTTCAGGAACAACTGGGAAAACAGTTAGGCAGACATGTAAGTTGTGCCTACCCCGAGGCAGCGTGGAATGACATCCGAAAAGCTGTGGAAACAGCAGTGATATCCGCTAGTAAGGTAAACCATAAGGTTAGGGAGAAACAATGGATTTCGGCAGCATCCACCTCACTGATAGATGCTCGAAAACTCATCCCACCTGGCTCTGAACATAACGAAGAGCGGAGTCAGCTTAAGCGAAGGCTAACAAGAAGTCTACGCAATGATCGCGAACAGTGGTGAGTAGCGAAAGCAAGAGAGATGGAAAAGGCAGCGGCAATAGGTAACCGCAGACAACTACTCAGACTTGTTAAAGAAACCGGTATTAGGAACCCAAGTATCAGTGAAACTATCTTGGATAAAGATGGACACATCATTCATTCTTAATTCAGGAGATTGGATCGATGGGTAGAACACTTTAGGGATCAGTTCAACTGGCCTTCAGCCACACTTCAGTTACCCACGATCCCCAGTTGTCCTGAATGGCAAGTTAATGTAAATCCACCAACACTTTACCAGGTTGATAAAGCTATAGGAAATCTGAAGCGAGGGAGAGCCGCAGGCCCTGACAGGTTTACCCTTGAGATTTTTGAGGATGGTGGTCCAGTAATAGCAACGAGATTGACTGAGGTCTTAGGTAGAATCTGGAAACTGGACGTAATTCCATGTGACTGGTCCCAATCACTGATTGTACCAGTCTATAAGAAAGGACAAAAGTCCTCCTGTGACAATCACAGAGGGATCAGTTTGACTAATATAGTGTCTAAAATATTAGCTTCCATAATACTTCGACGCCTAACCAAAGCTCATGAAGAGCAGACTAGAGAAAACCAGGCTGGTTTCCGACCTGGACGTGGTTGTATAAGCCGGATATTCACTCTACGTCAGGTCCTAGAACATAGACACAAATTCAGACGTCCCACAATAGTAGTATTTCTTGACCTTAAGGCGGCATTTGACTCCGTTGATCGTGAGGTTCAATGGCAGTGTTTGTCATTGAAAGGATTATCAAAGAAGTGCATTAACCTCATAAAGGCTCTCTACGCGAACACAACTGGTCGAGTTAGAGCTTATGGTGAACAGTCATCAGAATTGATTACCTCAAGTGGTGTTCGTTAGGGCTGTCCACTCTCCCCATTCTTGTTTAACTTTGTCGTTGACATGCTTTTAGAGATATCACTTTCATCATCTGAATCTCCAGGAGTTGAACTTTTACCGGGAGACTCACTTGTTGACTTAGAATACGCCGACGACATAGTTTTATTTGGTGAAGACGCTGACAACATGCAGAGTCTTCTGACCACTATAAGCAACAATGCAGGCATGTTCGGGATGCGATTCTCTCCCTCGAAGTGCAAAATGTTACTTCAGGATTGGGTTGCATCGACACCTGAACTAATGATAGGGAGTGAAGTAGTTGAGCGTGTTGACAGCTTCACTTATCTTGGGAGTCTCATCAGCCCTTGTGGTTTGGTGTATGACGAAATCTCAGCATGGATATAGAAGGCTCGTCTAGCTTTCGTCAACTTACTTCATTTATGGCGTAAGCGAGATATCCGTCTAGCAACAAAAGGACGGGTTTACTGTGCAGCAGTTAGTTCCGTCCTACTTTATGGCAATGAAACATGGCCGACAAGAGTAGAGGATATTCGTGGGCTACTAGTTTTCGATCATAGGTGTCTTCGACGCATTGCTCGTATATCCTGGGACCACCGAGTAAGTAATGCAGTTGTTAGGGAACGGGTACTAGGTAAGGATGGCAAATCCATTGACGAATTAGTGAAACCTTATCAGTTGAGATGTCTGGGACATGTGTTACGTATGCCCAACCACTGACGGCCCCGATGTGTAATGCTTTATGGTGTAGGAGCAGATTGGAAGAAAGCTAGGGGCGGCCAGACCAAAACATGGCACAAATCCATGATGTCACTGACAAGTGGACTAAGCCATGTTGGTAGGTGTAGACTACCTGGTTGGGATCCGCGGGATGATAGCAACCGATGGTTAGATACCTTGAATGATATGGCTCAAAATCGTTTGCAATGGCGAAGGTGCATCCACTCTTTGTGCTCTACCAATTCTAACATGCACCTATGCTTCTTCTCTTTCCAAAATAATTTCACCGTATTATACTCCTTCAATAACATCTTCAAACCCTTATCTTTCACATAATACTTATACTCTTACTACTTCTACCAATATGGGATTTGAATCAACAACTTCATCTCTGTGCTAATGTGGTATGGCAACTCGAACTGATGTACGTACGTACGAAGTTCTACGTTGTAACTGACTGACTAACAGTTTTATTTGTGCAACACAATATGTAGTACGTAAAATACAACTTTATGTGGTCGATTTTCAATTTATACTTCATGTGTACATGAACTAATGGTACTTGTTACTTCACTATATAAATCAAACTAGATGATGAACTAAAATTAAGGAAAACAAGATTAGTAGAATGAATCAAATTTAAAATTCGGATAAAAAGATCCAATTACATTATGTGACTGAATCATATGTTAAGCTAAGCTATTTTTCTTGAAAATTCGTTTAAAATGAGCTAAAAAGAGATTTATTCAAAATTGCCACTTTGAAATTTAGAAACTTTACATAAAACGTGAATTTGATTTTTTAAAATCCTCTCTGTTAATAGATGATTTTTTAAAGACACCCACAACTTTCTCTACAAATGCATACAAGTTTCTCATTATGTTCATAATCAATTGAGAGCTGCTAATAAATCTTTTAAGTGTTGTTCATCTTATTTTACTGGGTACGTTTACCCAAATAGGTTCATTGGTTAACTAGGTTAATTATAAAATTGTCTTACGTAATAGATACTCTCATTCAAACTGGTAATAAGATATTTTCCCGTTAGTTATATAATTCTTTCTTTTCTTTTGAAATTGTTTTCAATAAGTTCCCATTTCAATTTGAAATAAGGCTTCACTTGAATTTCTTTTATATAGAATGAAAAGTGTGTTCAACAATTATTTTATCATAAATCAAACCCAATACGTCAGAACATTAATGTTTCATTGAAATCTGATATAAAATATTATAGCGTCAAAAACTCCATAAATATGTTCCTAATATTCTATCATTTGTTGCTATAAAATCCTTTAAAATGTATGCATATGCTATGTATTAAATCTATCTCATTGAAGGTCATAATACTATTGTTCAAATTGTTACAAGTGCGCTGTAAATT